CGTAAGATCCTCCTTTGACATATCATCTGGAATGTTCTCAGCTCCCTATAGTGCCAAATCAACTCCATCTTGAGTTGCCACATGCCGAAGTTGACATTTCTATCGAATTTCTCGATAACAATCTTTGTTATTATCATTGTTACCAAAATATCCCGAAACCAAGCTCTGATACCAGTTTATTAGAGCTGACCCAAGGAAATTTACTATCAAATTTACGTGGTTCACTTAATTAACCTACATTTACGGACGAAGGAGGAGCAAATCACTACTATAAAAGGGACAATTACAAATGCCTTAGGAAAATATTTCTAGACCATAAAACATTTGAAACTATTGAATAAGAAAAGCCCAAAGCAAACAATTAAGTTTTCTTGTGGTGCAATAGGAGATAACAAGTTTGATTTTCCTAGGACTATGTGAAACTTGCCAAACTAACAAAAGTATTTATTTCTCACCTAAGTTAACCCACACTTTAAATAAATATTACCTTATAACACCTTGAGATTCTCCATTATCCTTTTTTTTTTATTCATTGAAAAAAGGGAATCTTAATTATCATGCATGGTTTTTCCTTATAGATCTTGATATCTTTTTCTCTACATTTCATGTCTAATTAAAATACATTTATATTGACTAGAACACTTTTGAAAGACAGCAACATAGAGCAGGAAAGGAATCTTACAAGAGATGGGGGAGGAGCTCTCAATGACACTGTGGAAAGATTTTTAGGTCTCTTTTTGGAGATGTTACTCTTATTAAGATTACCTTCCAATCAATCAGATTGTTACTTTAATTTTTTATGTTAACAAATTCAGAAATCAACAACATAAAATGGAAAAAAAAAGAACACATGAAACTTCTTATCTATCTTCATATGTTCCATTAAAACATAGAAATATAGAGTATATTTATCGAGCAATCCAACTTCCTTTCCAATGTTGGATTACTTGTTCTCTTAAAGAATTTTCGTTGTCAGTTAACTTGATTCTTATTCTCAAGCCTAACATCGAGCATTCTTATTTTTGTAATATCATGACTAATTAGATAAACCACATTTTGGCCAAAATTTTAGTTAACAAATATGTCTTGCTGAATCCTTATATTCTCGTGAAAAAGAAATGAAGGTCAGAAGAGTTGAGAGGCTATAAGATGGCTTATAAATAATCAGTATCATTGTTTAGGTATCAGTCCATCATCAATCATAATCTAACATTAAAAGAAAGGAAAAAAATGGCTTTTTTTTGTGATACTCACAGCAATGCTTTTGCATCATAAAGCAAAAGAGGAAAACAATGTTTCTCTCTCTCTCTCTCTCTCTCTCTCTCTTTCCCTCTGTTTGTTAGCCTCCTGTGCTGTTTCTGTGAGATGATGACTCCCTGAAAGCTTAACCATAGGAAACATGTGTTCAGTAGTGTATTGCATTTGAGCTGCTGCATATCAATATGCAAAGATCATGTCTAATTTGCTTATCAATATGTTGGTTCTGTTAATATGCATATATATGTTTGCTGTCAATTCTCATAAATCATAGCTTAGAATCATGGATGGTGGATGAGATGATGATCAACAATAACTTGAAAATTAGTTGAACAAGATAATTCTTTTTTTGCTTTCCTTCTTAGTATCCCAACTATCCTGTTAGAAAGTAATTGGAATTTTTAGAGTCCTATAATGACTTATGATGTGAATTATGACAAAGGATTTAGGTAGGAATATGAGTCTCTAGCAAATTAAAACTTATTGCGATGAACATCTCATCTCATGTATAGCTAGATTTTGGTGAAGGAACAAAATGTGAGAAAATACTTTAGGTGTTCTTGGGGTTTTCTTTTTAGTTAATCTTTTGAAGAGGGTGAAAGAAAAGATGAAAATAATATGTTTTTTAATATATATTAATTAGGGAGTGATGGATATGACCCACCGATCAACATTTGGTGAAAGCTGACTGAGAAGAAGGATGTTAAGATAATAATATCTTATTTAGGGTATTAAAAATAGCAAACATGTATTAATCCCTGACTAGTATTCCTAATTAATTAAGGCCTAAGTGGATGTTAAAAGTGATAGAACTATCGTAATAATTGGTTAGCGGACTTGGAATATATTTGGAAGTAATATAGTTGTGGTCTTTTTGGAACGAAGAACATTACAGAAAATTTTTATTTGTCTTCTTTGAAATCAACATCAGATAAAACCTTCACAAACTAAAAAGAATTGGGTGCATTATTAGAACAAACAAGACTTGTTAATCTCACCGGTTTCTTCACCATCTTTGGCTTATGAGGAAGCCCTTATAACTCGCATGCTTCTCACTTCATCTACGACTACTCTAAGCTTATATCACACATGAAACAGAGCGGAGCACTAAGCGTCAGCTGACGCAACTCTCAGCGCTCTCACGTCCACTCCAATGCCGACATGGAGTTCATGGGAGTGCAGGCGCAGCAGATGGCGGGCGGAGGACCTCCTCGGCGCGCCGTGCCCCTTGTTGCTCGGCCCGGAGGGAGGGACGCGCTTTCTGGCCACGGCTAATGCTGTGTGTGTCCTCGCCGAGCAGACCGCCGGGAGCATGAGAAGGAGAAGGGCGAACACCACCACCAGCTTGGTGTTGAGATCCATGTCATGGACTAGGGGAACCTTTATGAAGGAGAGGGAGAGAGAGGCATTGCAGGTGGAGGAGATTTAAATACGAGGAGGGAGATCGAGTCGAAGGCAATAATTTGGACTGATACTAAATTCTCCGAGAAAGAACACGTAAAAAAAATATAAATTCGAGATCTTCCACAGGATTGGATGTGACATAAATCTCACTACAAATTAAATCTACTTTGCTTCGATACCCTACTTTCTAGGACATTTTTTTTATGTTTTATAAGCAAGGTTTTTTATTTTTATTTTTTTTTGCAGTTGAACAAAGAATCAAAATCCTTCCTCTTATATTTTTATTATTGAACACTCTTAACTCTTGGTGGAATACTTATTGTACTCTCTATGAATATGGTTCTAGATGAAACATAGTTGAATTTTATTGTTTAATTCATTAAAGAAGTCGATCGATCGAATCTTAAAAAATTTGATCAATTTTTAATTTTACCTTAAGATAGATACTATTTATGTGTCTTCGCTTTTTATCCTTTAATAACTATTTATTAATTTTCTAAATAAAAAAATGTTTATATTTTGATATTTTTCCAACATGATTAACAGACACTAAATGGCTTGCCAAAGAAAAAAAATATGAACTTTATGGGCAAATGGGACTCTTCCCTGTGATGCTAATCTGATGCACCAAACCACTGAGAGAGGTGGAAGATGACTTTGGATCACTTACTATTTGACAACGAACACTCCCAACCCAGAAAGAGAAATAGAGGTTGTAGGAAAAGCACATTCTTTTCATCCATGGCTTCAAATTCTTTGGCTTCTTCTCAGGGAATGAGTTTGATTTCTGCTCTGGTCTTGCTGCAGGATATGATCGATGAAGGAACACCACCAATTATTCCTGGTTTCTCTCTCTCTCTCTCTCTCTCTCTCTTTCTCCATCTCTCTCTATCTATCTCTCTCTATCTTTGTGCCAACCAGTGTGAGGACTTGATCTCTATTCCTTTTAGGGTATCCGTTTGCTACAGAGTATGATTACATGCTGGAATCAATTATTAGTGGTTCTCCCTCACTTTCTTTTAAGTGCAGAATTGGATCTCTATCTCTGTAAAGAAAGATGATGATATAAGAAAGGGAATAAAGCTGTACTGTCATCGATCGTCACCCGTCGACGTTTCATAACACGTCTTCCGATTTGGATTGCAACTCTTAAAAGATTCTTTTAATTAGATAACCATTTTTTTCCCTTTTAATATTTCAACATATATTTAGGTCATTTATTCAACTTGTAGTCCATGCATAATTATACTTTCCCGATGGCCCATTCCTTTTAGGTTATGTTGTCCATGGCCAATGTTAACTCTTTCTATATATATATATATATATATATATATATATATATATATATATATATATATATATATTGTCAATCAAGGAGGTGTATGGAAGGCAAGTTGACTTGTTTGCATGGAGATAATTGAGGAAGAACATTGTATTGTTGCATTACCATCCAAAACTGGCCAATTTTTGGGGACAATGACCAGATTTGAGAGCTACCTCAAAAGATGCATGGAATAATGGAGTTGTAGTGTTTCAGCTCCTGTCAATTTCACCAACTTTGAGGGTGCAAGGTCTTGGATAAGATCCCTGAATACTTTAAATCAATTAATTGAGTGATGGAAGAAAAGGACATGGATAAACTCTTCACAATTGACATATATAGATTACATAATGCAACACAAGTCTAATGATATAATTTATAGCTTAATTTATTTGCTAATAACATAATATGATTGTTTGCCCAAAGTAATTTTTCCCATAGCAATAGCAAAACAAACGGTAAAGTAAAAACTTAAACTTGACTCTTTAATTCCTCAATTCCGATAAAAAGAATTTGATATAAATTCAGAGAAAGACAAGGAAACACCGCAAATGCAAAACCCTAGAGGACCGCATCATCTGAAAAAGACATCCACTTCCAGTTGCTTCGCTATATCGTTTTCTCTTGATTGAAACAGCTTCTTGTAGTTTTTGAACTCCACAAAGACTCACCATTGAGGCTAGAGGATCCCTTCATGCAGCATCCTGTAACAAGGTCAGGCCACATCATGGGTCATAATTCTTAAGTTGTCCTGACCAATGATAGGTTGTAAAGCTCATCCAAACAAGTTGAAAGAACACGAATCCACCGAGAACACATATCTATAGGCAGCTGACTTGAATTCATTACTATGCCACTTGCACTGCACTGTTAAATCTTCATAGCTTTTGTAATATCCAATGTGATACATTCTTCTTGTCTGTTATATAACCTATTAGACAATCAAACAGCTGCTGATGATCTATGCTATCAGTATTACAGCATATCCTTTGTTTCAGGTGAAGTAGCCAACAACTAATTAGCACTAAAACACAGGATATATTTAAGAAAAAAGAAGTGTTGATACAAATTGTTCACTTTGATAAACAAAAACCCACAAAGGTGTCCAATTCTACATGTAAATCTGTTACAAGCTTCTTTTTCCTGGAAACAATTAGAGACTTCAAAAATGAAAAGTCCAGCTTTGGAACATCTAGTCTCATGTTTCCTATTGCACTTGATGGAGCTATACTCTCACCAAATTTACCAGCATCATCAAAGTAGCAGATTAACCTTTTTCTTCAAGACAAGATGGCAGTTGCATGGGCCAAACACCGATTTGATGATCCATTCCTTCCATCTATCTAAGCCTTCAATCATGAGGGAACACAATTGGATTGTTCCTGCTTGAAAGAAAAGCAAACTAAACATTAGCTGATTGTCGATTCCAGCAGAACACAGCATCTAGGTGAATTACCTCACAAGTGTTGATACATTTCTTGGGCCACCAAATCTTTTACATAGCACTTCTTTGTGATTCGGATTCAGCAAATCCAGACACTATAAGGGATCATGGCAATCTGCATCTCTGATGGCAGTATCAGAAGAATCTCTAAGCATTTCCGAGCAATAACATCCTGAGAGCTTGATAAGTAGAAGAATGCCAACTTAAATGTCTATTTCGAGTTCCCCAAGTGTCTAGTATTAAAGAATATCAAAAGATTCAACATTAAGACCTACTTCAGATTCAAATCCAAATTGCTTGAGCTGTATCGTGTCACCACCATCCAAGTAACTGGATGGTTGGTATCATGGAGGGGTTTCCCACATGTCAGGGGATTGATAGCCAGGATAATGCTTTGAGCCAAAAAACTGTGTGGAATGATCAGAATACAGAACTAAGGCGGTGCAAGCAATATATACTTTTTCTGACCCCATCAAATACACAACACTCATGCAAGCAATAACGCGGCTATATGTCACATAGATTTCATGCGAGCAATAGAAAATTTTGTTGATCCTATCATACAACATTCACCACAATCAATAATGGACAGCATTTGACATACTGGTAGAGGACATATTGGTCCTCAATCAGAACTTCTCGAGTGGACATCAGCTTGGTAGAAAAGACAATGATAAACTACATCAAAAATAGGAATGGAAATATTCAAATATTTTATGATCGGGAGAATATTTTCCCTAACTGCAAGTCAGGGACCCCGACTACAAAAGGGCCTGTTGCTATAGCGCATGGGTTCTTCTATCTCACAACTACACATACTCAGATTTCCTAACTTGAACGTGGAACCTAGTCACAACGAAGTTCCTATTGTAGGAATGAAAATGGTTCAGCCTTGAGGGTCTTCATCATCAATCGTCCAGGACCAACGCTGTGCTGAGAATCGGACCATGGACTGGGTTGAGCGCACCTTCCACCCAGGAAAAGACACCGATATCACGATCTAACACATACGTATCTACTAACATAACCATTTACTAACTTAACTGACTGTAATACTTAGGCATGGCCACAGCAAGAAGGATGCACAAAATAGTCACCAAATCAGGTCTCAATCAAAGCTGCATTTAAACAAACGTCATGTGTGCTTCACTGGGCATATCACTTTCTGAATAACCTCCAATCAATGTATTGAATGAGATGATATCCTTCTTCCCATTTCAACAAACACTTTCCAAGCTCCTGGCATACTCCCACATTTTGCATACATGTACACGAACGCATTGGCAACAGTGAGATTCTCCTACCTTCTATCAACGATAGATTTCACAGAAACAGTCTCCCTTCCGAAGCAAACTCATCAAACAGCTTTCCACCTTCTACCATATCAAACCAACATGAATATAAGCTTTGATCTAAAAAAAACTATAGATTTGGACACAGAGCAATGGACTTGGCAATCAAAGCTGGAACTTTTTAATTCACGCATTAACCCGATGGCCTCATTTAGATTACCCATATCGAAAAGCGACAGCATCACAGTGCCAGAATCGATCCTCTTCTCCTCAGTTCATCAAAGTGGAGCTTTTCTCATGGGTCTTGAAGGCAATGATTTAGGTCATGGGACGCAGAAGAGGCTCCGACTCTTTCGTTTCCGAGGATTGGTAGGGCAAAGAAGCCCACTGATGGAGACCTCAACTCGAAGCAAGAGGAGAAGCAACGGGATTTGCCGCTCTAAATTGGAAGGCAGCCAACGAAGCGCAATTTTATAGCAAATTTTTATGTCAATTTATTGCTTAATATTATTTTTCGTTTATCATTAGAGGTTTTTTTTTTCACTTGAAGGGGTAATCTCGTCTTTTTATTTCGACTGGAAACCCTAAAATTGACGATCAGGATTGGCTGTTGGGACTCCATTTAGACTTTCCTCCCCTCCCCGTCGCTACTCTGCCCGAGACTCCAAACTTGCCTTCCGACCCTCGCCGATCTCCCGCCATGGTCGATACCTTCTGCTCCACCTTCCCCCACTTCCCTTCTCCTTATCCGTTTTCTAATGGCGCCGCTGCCCCTTTTCTTCTACGCAGGCTTCCGAGAAGAAGCTGTCGAACCCGATGAGGGAGATCAAGGTCCAGAAGCTCGTCCTTAACATATCCGTCGGTGAGAGCGGTGACCGCCTTACAAGGGCCGCCAAGGTATTGAATCTTTGGTCCGATATTTTCCCAGCCGTCCTTGATATTTGTCGCTGTAGTGTTTAGTTCACCGAGTACCTTGATCCGGTCATCTACTGATGTAGAGATTGTGCATCCTCCTCGATTTTAGATTTCTTGGAGCGGCCTAAAGGAGGCGACTTCGATACTGTTTACTTGCATTTTGCATCGGAAGTTCTATATATGAACTATGTTCCTCTTGTATGCAGGTCTTGGAGCAGCTAAGCGGGCAGACACCGGTGTTCTCAAAGGGTTAGTATATTCTTTCTACCAGTTTCTAGCAGTAGATGGCTCCAAGTTTCGGTCTTGTTCATGATTCTTGACGGTATTGACGTCCCTGCAGCACGATACACTGTGAGGTCCTTTGGGATCAGGCGTAACGAAAAGATTGCTTGCTATGTCACGGTCAGGGGTGACAAGGCGATGCAGCTCCTGGAGAGTGGACTGAAGGTGAAGGAGTACGAGCTGCTGAGGAGAAACTTCAGCGATACTGGCTGTTTTGGTTTTGGTATACAGGAGCATATCGATCTTGGAATCAAGTAAGCTCGAATTAACCCGTTGCTTCTGCTCACTTGCTTTCTGTACGTTCGTAACCGACCACTTTGTCCACTCAAGGAAATGCATTATTCTGCTAGCTTGGTTGATAGGGTTCATAAATTTATATCTAATTGCGTGGGATGAGATCGTATAGTTTAGGACTATATTATGCAGTCAATACCAATTTTGTATGGTTTTGTTTTATTGTGTTGGGAAGAGATTTCTTTTTTAAGTATATATTCCTATTTTATTTTTTTGGGTAATTTTGATGTTTCTTTGAACCAAAATAAGCTGTAAAGGCTGTGAAATCTAGTGCTTGCCTGTCGAAAGTCCTAATATTTGGATTGAGTTGGATAACATTTTGTATCTCCTGGTATTAAAACTGTGTTAGTGTGTTTAAGATGAGCTATGGCATAATATCTCTGGTTGCTGATTTGGTAAAGATTTAATATCTGATGTTTTTTATTACTTTTTTTCGGAATTTTCTTTCAGGATTACAGGAATATTTTTCTGTGAAAAATGTTACATAAATAGGATTATTTCTGTTTTGCCAAATGAGCTATTAGTTTGTTTGCAAATATTGCTTTGAGTGGCTGCAACAACTATTTTATCCATTTTAGGCAATGTTAATAAAAGTGATTGGGATACTTATGTGCTGTTTCACTTTAATAGTCAAGATTTTATAGTATTAATTTGATTTTCATTATAAGGAATTTATAAAACTGGTGGCTTTACGTTTGGGATCATGTTTTTCATTTATGTACTGCATGAAGTTGCTTTAGGTTTGACTTGCATTATACTTATTGGGAAGAGTTAATATGGTATTGGTACTGTTGGGTTAATTTTTAAAATTTATAATTCTTATGTCTTCTTGGTTTAGTTTTCTCAAAGTTTTTAATGTTGTTAATTGCCTATACTTCTGTAAGGTAAAGGCATTATCTTTAACATAGAACCTAAGCAACCTGGCTCACAACTTTGGACTCAGCCCACGATTGCTTTGTGAATGGCTTGTTCCAACGCTTGATGGATGGTAAGCATCGAAGATGGTGGAAGGTGGATGACAAGTTAGGAAGGTGGTCAGGCAGTTGAAGACAAATTGGTGGTGATAGAATTGGAAGTAGGATGGCGTACAGATGGTGGTGCAGGAGGGATTGTGTTGGTGTGGAAGTTGTGACTCGAGTTCCAAGTGATAGTGGCTGAGGTATCAAAAAGGAGGAAAGGAGGGAGGGTGGGAGCAAGCATAGAAGAATTTGACTGATAAGACCCTAAAGTCTTATTATCGCTCTGATACCAAATGATAAGACCCTAAAGTCTTATCGTCGCTCTGGTACCAAATGGTAAGACCCTAAAGTCTTATTGTCGCTCTGATACCAATTGATATGACCCTAAGGTCTTATCGTCGCTCTGATACCAATTGATATGACCCTAAGGTCTTATCGTGGAAGAAAAGGGAGAAATGGGGATGCTCTGATACCAAATGGTAAGACTTACCATTCAGCTGAACAAATGCCACCATCTGCATCTCCCTCATGCCAAGCCAATGCCCGGTCAGCTTAATGCAGCTTTACTGGCCCTTTTTCCGCCACAGTTTTACTTAACCATTATCAGGAGCTTTAACTGGCATACGGCCCAAGGAGAAGTCCAAATATAGGAATGTAGTCATATCTGAAAGTGCAAGGTAGCAGTTGTGTATCAAAGGGCAACAACAATTTATAATTTGCTAGTTATTTATATCAACCTCAGCTCAACTTATAGATAGATCTAGATTTAGCTATATTCCTTGATAGATTAAGAGTTCCTTAAAACTAGTAACTCTATAGGCTTCTTTTCCCATTAATGAAGTTAGATTAGTTATTAATCAAACTTATTTGCTTGTTTGAAGGCTTCTACTTTACCTCATATTGATAGCATTCGTTTGACATTTTCTCACCACTCAAAAGTCTTGGTTGTAGTTGCTTTGTTAAATCCCCCATGTTACTTTTGCAGGTATGATCCCTCGACCGGTATCTACGGGATGGATTTCTTTGTGGTCTTGGAACGCGCAGGTTACCGGGTAGCTCGTCGTCGCCGATGCAAGTCACGTGTAGGAATTCAGCATAGGGTTACCAAGGAGGACGCAATGAAGTGGTTCCAGGTCAAGTATGAGGGTGTCATCCTCAACAAGTCCCAGACAACCACTGGTTAAGATTCATGATAGCCCAGAACATTATCTTTGATCTTGCCTTTGCCAGCAGAGTTTAGTGGTTCCATCGAACTCAATTGCTTTTACAATTTGCAATCTCTACTCGAGTATTTTGATCCTGAAGGAGTTGGCAAACTTCATTTTAGTTCAGTAATTAATGGAATTGCTTCAAGTCTGTAATCTTACTATATCAAACTGGAATGTTAGCGTGGTCAGTAATTATTGGCTTGATTGAAAGTTGCTAAAACCAATAAGTGTCAATTTCGGATATTAGACCTATTCAATTGCTAAAACCAAGAAATGCTATTTTAGACCTGCCTGAATGCTTACAGCTCTGACATATTCGGAGCCGTTGGAGGAAGAAGAGAGGTCTGAGGAGGTGGAGGAAGAACGAAGAGGTGGAGGAAGAAGGCAGGTATCAAAAATTGAGATATTTTGAAAAGGAATAAGAAAGAAGCGGAGAGATGCATGAAGAGGAAGAAGGCAGGTGATAAAATTGAGATATTTTGAAAAGGAGTGAGGAAGAGGTGAAGAGGAAGAAGGAAGAGAAAATTGAGATATTTTGAAAAGGAATAAGGAAGAGGTGAAGAAGAAGAAGGAAGCGGTGGCGGAGGATGAGATGTATCGAAATTGAGACAACAAGTGGAAGAGCTAAGAGTGGCCGATGATAGATAGTCTTATTCGTGAGCCCCAAAAGGTTTGCGTTTCGATTCATGTTCAAATTGATAAATATTAGCCGATATGAATCGAAACATACGAAATTGAATTCTTGAATCAGTACATGGCATCGACCGTAACGCTTTAAACGATTCCTCATGGCCTAATAGGTCCCACGATATTACACAATATTACCTGTGATAAAGGATCATCTTGCAACTCATTTCTGATTCTGATCTAATGGTAAAGGTGCTCCTGAACCAATAACACTCGTTGACGCGTGTAGGAACAACCGAATGAATCTCAACATAACCAAAACATAATACTATGTTCTTGGCGATTTAACTTGGAACAACATTCACACGTTTAGAATTCGTTTGTGCCAACTTTCTAATTTAATTTCTAATATTTTAAAAAACTAATAACCAGCATACAACCCTCTAAATTACCCACAAACAAAATAGTCTAGGTTTTAATAGAATATGAATGCGCCAAATAAAAACACTCAAAAGTTAACATAAGTCGAAACAAGTGCCAAACCACCAACAAGCAAACTAGTAAGCAAAAGCCGATTAAGTTAAGAGTTCTCTGAACAAAAGCTTGCCATCAACAAAATGTTCAATTATACTCTTCCGCCTCCAGCTACAGAAATCAAGCAACCTATTTGATGACATTTATAGCGCTACCAATGACGAGATGAGAAGACCTAAGTCATTCTCTGGGCAGCTTCCTTTGCTAGTACCTTCTCCCTGGCCTTGGATTTTGCCAGAGATTTGGAACCCATGATTCCACCACCCCACTTCCTCCTGACCTCATCAAACTTGTCATTGAAATTGGCCTGGAAAAAGACTTGTAATCAGTATAGGCAAATTTCTTCATGCAGAAATTAAAGACAGTCACATAACTAGTAGTTCTATTATTCACCTTAATCGCTTCCAGGATTTTGCTGAATTCTAGTTTGTCCTCGTTCTTCATAGTGGTCAGACACAAGACTGATGCTGTTTTCTTATGCACGATCTATCAAAGTTCAATTTACATAAGAAATAAATGAGTCAGCAGCACATGAGAATATATTGCTTTAAATCAAATGTCAATGATAATGAGATGGCCCTAACCGCTCCTAAACGGGCTTTTCCTTTGACAATACAGTAAGGGATCTCCATCTTCCTACACAAGGCGGGTAGCCACACGACAAGCTCAATTGGATCCACATCGTGTGCGATAACCACCAACTGTGCCTTGTTCTATGAGGTGCATCAACAAGTTAAGTCGGCAATGACAGCATTCTCCGAAAGGGTTTTGTCGGTAATGGAATCAAGAAAGAAAATAATAATAATAATACAATCTGAAAGCGTAAATCTAAAAGGAAAAGAAAATTGCTGACCTGTTCGATAAGGTAAGTGACATGGTTGAGCCCATACTTGACAACAATGGGCTTCTTCAGTTCAATAGTCTTCCCTTCAGCTTCAGCTTGTGCCCTCTTCAGAAGCCTTTCCTTCTTTGCAGCTCGGTCTTCGGGCCTGTACTTCAGAAGCATCTTGAAGAGATTTGTAGCTACAGAAAAAAAAAGAAAAAAGAAAATTAGACATACTTCGTTCAGAGTGAATCCTTCAGATGAAATGATTTCAAATAGATCTAACTGAAAGAATTATCAGAAATACAAGAAACAAGAAAAGATGACCAGTAATTTCTCAACATGCATCCAGTGAATGCAAAGGAATAGCCTGGCAGTTTAAGGACATCTCTTATTATCATGAAAGATCAATACCAATACAAATTCATATACTTGTTGATAGATAGATACCTAAACAGTTCAGTCTACAATTCTGAAAGCAAAAGATTTAGCATAAGGAAAAATAAATTACTAATAGCACGGTCCACACTTATTTTTTTCTTTTATTATCCAAATTAAATTAATAACCATTTATGATAGAAGTGATAAATCATTTCTGCAAATTCAAAGAATTAAAATCATTATAGAAACAAATTGGGCTTTTGCTCACAATTACTCATGTTTTCATAAAAGCATGGGAAGCTTCATGCAGCAACAAACCTATTAACACCTGAGTGGTCTCAGTCAACAAGGCAGCTGACTACGAGAAAAAGGCAATCATCATGGATCAAGAAAGCATTTATTTCATAGGTTATAAAACCACATAAGCTGGAATTGTTATTCATTGATCACTCTGAGGGCTGTGTATACACAGATTAAATTAATCAATAATAACAACATTTCATAGTACCTCGTCAATATTACAATATAAATATTTATATTCAACTGGAACAAGACACCACGGATCCATGTACTAGATTTAATGCAATTATGAAGAAAGTTGTTGATGAATGATGATTAACGGAAGATGTGAGTAGAATTAGAATATCTTAAGCAACAGTCACAGGGGTAATAAACAATTAAAATCACTCAACTACAAGCATAATCTGATCAGCATGTTCACCACCATGACCATCAAACTGAGCAAAACGATAACCAAATAACATTGCTTTAAGCATTCTTACAGTGGTTCAAGTAATTGTACCCACAGTATATATCCGCAGCACAAACAACCAAATCAAATAACAAGCAGGTATTCCTTTCAATATCACATAACCAAATTATATGACTGCTTGTCAGTTACAAATTACAAGATTGCCAAAATAACACAAAAAAAAAAGCAAGCAATGAATGTATATAGATTCCTTTCATCTAATAGTTGATGTGCATAAGAAGTTTCAAAAATTCAAACATCTAATTAAATTTGAGGCAGCATAAAAGGGGAAGAAAATTGAGATTTTAGCTCACCAAGGTTCTTGTCCAATGTCCGAGTGAACTGATTCAAAGCTGGTGGAACCTTCAGCCGCTGCTTCAGTATCCTTCTCTGCCTCTGAATCCGGACCACCTTCGGCCATTTCACGAATCTGTGCAGATCCCTCTTTGGAGGCAATGCCCCTCCGATTCCGAACTGCTTCGGGCGCTTCTCAAACAAAGGATTCACAACCTTCTCCTGAGATCCAAACATAAGCATTCAGCAATAAAAAGCGAAAACCTAGAAACGAATTTGAAGCTTTAAAGAGTTCTGTGTGTAGAAGGATAAGAAGAAAGAGAGATCACCGGTTTCTTCTTTGCCGGAACGGGCGCTTTCCCAGATCTTTTGGGGGCCTGGAAGACGAAAAATCACACGCTACAGTTCATAAATGACTTCAGTCATGCAGAAAATACAAATAGACTTAGAAAAGGAGGAAGCTTTTGCAACACGATCCGACGGAAAAGAAGAGCCACGAACGGCTACTTCTCGATCCGATCCTGCAAAACTACGAGACGGCTGTGGACCTAGATGGCCATACAGATCGAGTTCTACGAAGGAGATTGACGAAATGACATGGCTTTCAGCGTACCATTCCTTCGCTCCGATTAGGGTTTCGTGTCGGGAGACGGCGCAGAGGGACCGCTAAAGGGGGAGGCGGGCGCGCGCTTTTATATAGTACGGAACAGTGTAAGTCGCTACCAGGGTTTGAGCACGTGACTGACGCGTGCCATCTCGTGTTTGGGCTCAACCCCAGAGGCCCATATAAGGGACTAAGTCCAATAGTCACCGCCGTTCGAATCCCTCTCCTGGAGAAATCAGACGTTCCATCACCGTCAGATCCCTCGTAACCACTCCCCATCACCATCCGCTTGATTCGCCTCTCCCCTTCCCGCGCGCCCGCGGGCGGTCAAATAGAATGCCGCCGAGCTTTGAAATCATCGACCCGTCGATTAGGATTTCGAGCGGCGGTGGGTACCGGAGTTCCTCGGCGGCTCCTCCGCTTCCCGGAACCTTAAGGTCCACAAGGAGTGCTGCAATTTCATCATCTGCAAGTGGCGGGCCGAGCCCTCCAGCCGCATCACCTTCACCGGGATCCGGAAGTCCCTGATTGGTCAGGTACCTCCGTTAGGTGTTTCGATTTCCTGTATTTTCAGGCGAATTTACCCGTCGCGATGTCGACGGCATCGTACTCAGATGTATTTTGGAGATTGGGCTCTGAAGAGGGCACAAGCGTATGAAGTAGTATTGAGAATTGATTCACGGTAAAGTAATTATCTAGGTAGTTATCATATATAGTTTTAGCTATGTTTCAAGAATAACTCATGATCTAGAAGTTATAGGGTAGTTCCTATAACTATCTCAATCATGGGTGACATGGTGGAGTGAGATAGTTACCACTAGGTCCTATAAATAGGACCATAGTTCATGAAGTAAGATAGAGTGTGTGTGTGCACTTGGGAATATCTTTATTCTGTTTTTATCGTTTCCTTGCTCCTCCATCCTTAACATTTGTGGTATCAGAGCCTAGTTTAACTGAACTAGGTATTATGACTTTCAATGGTAATTTCATGTCGCAATCTCTTATTCCTATCTTCTTCAACAAATGCTATGAATTTTGGAGTATCAAGATGAAGACTCTATTTAAGTCTCAAGATTTTTAGGACTTAATGGAGAATGGATATGCAGATCCAGATGACGAAATCAAATTGAGGGAGAATAGAAAGAAGGACTTAAAGGCATTGTTCTTCATTCAACAAGCTGTACATAAGATAATTTTCTTGAGAATTGTAGCAGCGACAA